TTTGCGAACGTCTATACCTTCAACCTCTAAATCATCTATTATAACACCCTGAAGTGTCAGAAGTACAGTCTCCACGGACTGTGGCTGCTTGGATAAGAAGAGTTCCCTAAAATGTCCTTCATCGAACTGACTTTGGCCAATAACCTCTCTCATTCTTATCAGCATGCTCACGGCTGACTGATCTCCTAACTCGATGTTACGAAATAATTCATCAGACGTTTTCGGTCCGTGAGAACGTTTCTCCTGAGGAGGGATGCTGTGAGCAACTCGTACGAGTTACTTACCTTGGGACTCAAGATCTTAAATGTTACGTACTTGCTGAATTCCCGCGGTAGGGCGTGAATAACTGCAAGTAACTGTGAACGTTGACCGGTTATCCCATGCTCACAAAAATCTGCTTCAGCTATCTGAAACCACGTTTCAGCATTATCTGGCTAGTATGGTACGAGCTGAATGGATTTAGGAGTTGAGCGGGTACGAATGACGTTGAAACTAAGATCACTCATGACGATAAGTGTGTCGTATATAATATGGTACAAGAATAAATACAAAAAAGGAACGAACTCACCGGGGTTATGTGCGAATTTATCGTAGATGAAGTTCGCAGTTGGGCTCACCAGTTTAGGGGTTGACAGTATAGACGTTCGCAAACGGTACAAAAGTTTATTAACGCGATCTCTTATACATCAACTTCTAAATTATTAATTTTCGCCTACCAAAAGCCAAGCAAAAGACAGTATTTGATCGTCCAAATCGCGCGATATATTTCGGGACCAAAACGAGTTGTTAGACGAACGCTTAGCTGGCTAGTGATCGTGCACGAATGTGACACGACGGAGTACCAAATGACGGGGATGCTTGACCGACAGCCTTCAGCTAAACAAGTCGACTTAAACAGTGGTGGTCAGCATCCAATGTTCAGTGATGATTGGTGTGGTCAATAATTTTGGGGAATTATTTACCGCTACAGCTCACTCCCCCCCCCCAGTGGGGTGGTGAGGACCCTAAGACAGAACCAGCCGGAAGTAAAATAACTCGATGGTTCCCTTTCGGGTGGAAAAAATTCTTCCGAGAGGCTTGGTGGCGTGCCTGCTGGTTTGTCTGCCTGTGTTAATAGGTTGTTTGTACATAGCTTCCTTGGTGTTGGTCGTTGGATCCCGTGCTTCGTTTGTTTCTTGTCTTTATCGCTACACCACTGATATCGACTTTCGCTTGATGAAAACTATGGTTTTCTGGTGATTCTACATTAGAAACTAAATTAAATACTACCTAAATGGTGATGAATTGCAATGGAATCCAGGGATAGCTGAATTTTCTTGTGACATAATTCATTTGGATGTGTTGTTTTAATGAGTAATGCATTGACTAATTTAAGCTGTATTGTCACAACATAAGCTGTACCCACTGAGATTTGGAGCAAGCACCCATCATTTCAAGTGCCAAACAATTTAGTGTTGCCCATTATGCCATTGTAACATGACAGTCACCTCTATCAACTACATTTTTTGAATTTCTAGTCAGTAGAAGCTCAGTATTTAGTCTACTATTGTTAATCAATGCAAAATGCTAAATAACTTCAATAAATATTTAAAATAACATTTTCTATTACTTTGGTGTCTACTTTCATTGATTTATAAAGGTAATTGACCACTTCTTTGATCTTAGTGTCAAGACCCAAGTGCAAAATATCGTGGAAAAAACTGGGAAATTTCTGGGAAAAGGACGGCAAAATTGAAAGGATATTTTGGAGGGAGAAATAATTAGGCAAAAAGGCGACATAAAGGAGAAACCCCTAATATTTTCTCTAAACTCTGAATGTTACTGATGAATTTTCAGTAGTTTATATTTTATTTGTGAAATTTAGAAAGGTATCACTAAATACTTTCCTGAAATATTTTCGCAGTAAGTACAAAGCAAATTTTGTCAGAAAAAATACTGTAGGATTAACTGCCATTGACATACCACTGGTAAAAACGTTTTCATTTTACGAATTATTGCCTATGTGAATGCAGAAATATGAATTCCATGAAAGATTCTTGCCATTCTGTCTTGGTGCTGTAGATGAGAAGATTTGAATTCACTTATGGAAGTTATGAAAAACTTCTTAACTGAAGTTGGTGGATATTGTATAGAAGATATAGACGTAACTATTAGCACTGACTGGCAGAGATGTTCAAAGAAGACCGGAGATCTGCCCTTGTTCCTACTAGCATCGAAGTTTCTTCTATGATTACTGAAATTGTCGACATGCAAGCCGAAGAGCTCCAGTTGCTATCTTTCGACATCTATACGTCCGTTGCTAGTACTTCACTAGAGTACCGTGGCAGCTATTCTGTTGAATATGCTACTCAAGATCTTGGTCACCACGATCATCTCACAAATCAACAGCAATAAAATCTTGGACATCTTCCTTCAAAAATAGCATCTACCTAGTCTCTGTCTTCAAAGAATGAAGAGAGTCTCCGCTAACACTATTTTACAACGCTGAATCAAAGTTGTCTTGTAGAAATCAATATTTGTAATGTCTAGTATAGAGCATTAAGCATTAACAATATACGCATTTTCACAGCTCCATTCCTCCCAAGTACAAAAGAAATTTTGTAAACACCCTCAGTCACAGAGTTACAGCTGTATGCTCGGAAGAAGTAATTAAAGATGAATTAAAGATAGTATGTGATGCTTTGACTGAAAATAGCTATCCCGACAAATTTATGAAGAAACACATGACAAAAAAAGCGGAAAAGGACTACTCACTACTCACTATCCGTAAACAAGAAACAAGACACAATTCAAGACCTGCAATATACCAAGTGAAGTAATTACGAAGAAATTAAGAAAATTAGTTCAAAGAACTTTTAATACTGGCGAACTACACGTCTTATTCTCTACACGACCGACGGTGATTCCTCGAATGAAATATGAAGTATCTAGATTAGCTAGCCATTTTCAGTTGTATCTACAAATTCAGCTGCGCTTGTGGATGAGAGAGTTATATTGGCCGTTGCGTTAGGGACTTGATTTTTCGTGCTCTCTCGAGAACATTTCCCAGTATGGCTAAGTGTGGGTGTAGTGAAAACCATCAACAGTTCGATATTAGATCATCTGGTCCAAATCAGCCGTCCACAAAGCCAGCGTTGAAGAATCCTTCTCTATCATTTACGAGGTGCCAAATAAATTTCCAAAAGCATCGTACTACCGCATGCTCCAAACAGCAGAGGCTATCGCAATTCGCGTGAAACAACCAGCGCTTTGTGTGCAAAAGAAATAAGTCAAGCCATACGCCATTACTGCCCTGGCGGACCTTCAGTAGAGACTATAAATTTAGGAATTCTGTATTACAATTACATGGCATTACATTACGTATACAGGAGGTCGAGGGTTCGAACCCCGCGGTGTGTATGTACTACTGAAGAGTCCCAAACTAGGACGAAACATCTGTCCAGTACTCCCTACAAGTTTTCTACTGGTTCTCCAGCTGACGTCAACTCTTGATGAAATCCTCTAACCAATCAAACAAAATCCCTACAAAAAAAAGCAATACTTGAAAAATATTGCATTAAACTTACCTTGGTAGTCCAATTTTATAACCAGATGGTGCTTTTTTGTATTAATGATACTTTCCCCACTGTTGTTTTTCCTTCCCTTCACTTGTGACTGTGACCCCTAAACAACATTTTTACCCACATTTTCCATCTATTTTTATATATTACAGTCAATTGCAAGCCTAATTAGCTCAATGGTAACGTTTTTGACTAAGGCATTGCGTGACCCAGGTTCAAATCTCAGGGAAGATATGATTTCCTTCACGATTGCAGATATGGATGAAACCTAGGTCCAAGGGATCCTGGTGACTTTCTCCAGTCATTTAACACTTTGACTTAAGGATTTCATCGTGAGCTGACATTAGTTAGAGAACCATTGGAAAACCAACTGGGAGTACTGGACAGCTGTCTCGTCCTAGTTTGGGACTCTTCAGCAGTACGCACCCACAGGGATTCGAACCCAGGGCCTTCCCGTTACAAGGCGAGCTCGTATACCATTAAGCCACTGGGACCCGATCCAATGATCAGTCCATGAATTCTAACTTCTGCCAATTCACGACGTAGCGCGACCACTAGCCAATGTCTTCGGCGAGTATTTGTCCTCACACCTGACCGGCTGCACCCTACTGGTCACGACTTCCCACTGGAACCCAGATAACTACCTACCTGAAATGATGAAATCATGATGAAATATTGAAACCAATCAAATTCCTACAAACCAACACTTGAATAGTTTGACTTAAGTTTTTACATATTTAACCTTCCATATAACAAGTTCATGCGTTCACATGATCACAATATTCAAAATATGCTTCGTAAATATCTTACACCTTTGAGACGACTAATGTGTTGCTGCTCTCTTCAAGTAATGATTTTTGTTTGATTGGCTGGAGGATTTCGTGATGAGCTGATATCAGTTAGAGAACCAGTGGAAGACCTTCAGGGAGTACTGGACAGCTCTTTCGTCCCAGTTGGGACTTTTCATCGGAACTCACCCACACCGCAGGGTACGAACCCACGACCTTCTGGTTATAAGGCGAGCAAGCCCCTAGACCGTTCATCAGCCACTGACACCCGACTGATCCAATGGCCAACCAGTCCATGAATTCTAAATTCTGTCAACTCATGGCGTTACGCAGCCACTTTACAATGTCTTCTGCGATGAGTTACTGTCTCACTTTCAACCTGCTGATGTACCTTACTGCTCATGGTTTCCACTAGAACCCCACCCAGGTAACTGCCTGAATGAGTCAGTCACTAGTGAGCATCAGATCGCAGACTTGGAGAATTCTAAATTCCTATGAACACAGAAATGTTAACTAGTCGAATGGGAATAAACGTGTTCTTATCGTACATCTGCAGATTCAAATAATCGAAAGTATTGCGTAATAAATTGAAGGTCAATCAGCTCAATGCCTGTTGTCCACTACTAAAGTTAAAGAAGCATAAACTCTGTCTGATCGATACATATTTTTTTTTTGGTATTTTAACTCTTCACATCTGTAATGTACAAATTATCAGTTTAACGAAAACACAATTTAAGACACTGAAGAGTTAAAACAGCAGACGAAACACTCACACAATCACACACACACGTACATATACATAATGTGTGTTAAAATTAACATTGTTATAGTGTTTCTCAAAAATTTACTTTGACAAGAAGAAAGAAAGGAAAATATTAATGTTTTGGCATAAATGTTACATAATGTTGCATAATAGGTTAATTAGACATTTTTACATCAAAGTAATTCATTCCTATTTCATAAACAGACTGATTTAAGTGAGACATTTTATAAATTCGATAACATTATATAATTCAAGTATTAATAATAATACGCAAGTTGATACGAATATACTGATTTTTTTAACTAAATACACAATATTGTTAATAAGTGATATAAGTAGTATATATGTATATTGACAAATATTAGGAAGAAGAATAACAGTAATAGTGATAAAATTCATTTTCAGAAAATATTCAACAATACAAAGGAAAGACGTGTTTCAAGCATAATAATAATAATAATCCTTTTAAAATACTTTATAGTCGAAATATTATTCTAAATAGTTACATAGTTACTTAGTTTTAAATAAGTAGTATATGATGACTGATTAAGAGAAAGTGCATAATGATTCATTCATTAACAGGCTCAAAAGAAGAAGAAAATGACGATAATGAAGAAGAAGAAGAGATTACTAATATCAACTTAACATCATTCTCAGGATGCTTTAAACAAACTAAAAAACAATAACAACAACAAGAAAGAAGGTTCAATAAAGGGAGAAAAATATTTATATATTAAAAAATAACTTCAAAGTACGCTTCACTCCACCGGATAATTTTGATGCTCTAGCTCACAGTGCTTTATCATCATCGAGATCTTAAATATACATTATTTTTGTTTTTTTCACTTTAATTTTTGTTTTAATTATTATACAAATTTAAAAGGCAGTTGTTTCAAATTGACAGAATCAAGTGTTATGACGATGATGATGATGATGACGATGAGGTTGAGGATGGTGCTGGGATTTTCTTTCAACTTGACGGAATGATGGATAGGATGATGATGATGTTGGTGATGATGATGTACTAGTGATCAGTGATTTTTCATCATTCATATTATTATCTCCACTTTTAGGTACATTTGGTTCACTGTGAGTTTTCTTCTGTTCGTTTAAGTTTTCATTATCATTTGATAGATTATATTTAGATAATCGTAAATTATTATTATTAGTAGTAGTAGTAGTACTATCATCGAATGGATTTAAAGTACTATCCATTGATTTGCTGTGGACGAAACCTCTTTCGTTCATATTACTATTAGCATTACTATTATGCATTTCATATTCTTCATTGATGACTTCATCAAAAGAAAATTCATTTGACGAGGCAATATTTACGGAACATTGATCACTATTTAAACTTGGAGAGGTCAGTACAGATCTAGATCGTTTTAATGTAGACCATGGACTAACTTCAGAGGAGACACGTTTACGTAGACTCCATGAATTATGTAATATTTCATCACTATCAAATTTATCATTGACTTCATTGATAAATTTCTGTTGTTGGTGTTGTTGTTGTTGCTGTTGACGATGGCTAGTGTGATGGTCATAATTTTGATAAGATTGAAATTGTTGTACACTTGAACATGCATTGCTACCTTCATCTTTCATTCTATCGGCTTGATGAATAGTACTGGTGTTATTATTCTCAGTAATGTTTACTATCTTTGTATCATTGTTTTGTTGTGCTGATCCTGAATTGATTATTGTTGAAGAGTCTAAACTATAAGTAGAACCATGATTGAAGAAATCCCCTGTTGAATGGTGATGGTGATGATGATCTTCAGAGGATTGATCATTATCATGAAATGTAGGGGATGATGAGATTGAAGTAGATAAACTCCAATTGAAATTATGCTTAGACCTTTTCGACTTGTTATTCATGCCACTGGATGTATCTTGTGTATTCTTATTTGTCTGGTGAAATAAATGAAAAACGAAATAATGAATAGATTTCATAAGACGATTACGATAACTATTATATAATAATAATAATCTCCTTTATTCCAAAACAGACAGTACTTATAATACAGAATAGAATTCTCAGCATTTGTCACAATATTGCATCTGATTTACTTTATTTTTTTATTTATTTTTGATTTACAGCTTGATTCCACACTGTATTTTCGGTACAAGTATGGAATTTTCAGCATGGATATCGGTAGCCCAAATTTTGCAGGCCGACCATAGATATCAGGTGTGCGCCGGCGTGGGCTCGAACCCCGGACCATGTGCATGGTCGGCGAGAGTCCTAACCACTGTACCACCGACGCACTTAAAACATAAATAAAATTAAAAATTAAAACAAAAGGAACCCGGGGAATTCGTCCACGTTTACGATATAAAGTCAAAAATATTCGAAGCACGAAATGAAAGTATTAAACATTATAATAATGTAACAACAGAAGACAAGGCCCGGCAACAGATCACTGCAAATACTCCCCAGGTCTCTGTTCATGTCGTCTAAATGCAGTTTAACTGCTCCAATGCAGATTAGATTTGCCCACACGGATGTTAAAAATTTTCCTGACTTTACAAATTATCGTTTAGAGATGACTAAGGATCCTCACTCAAAAACCTCCGACACCGATGTGCAACGCAAAGTCTTTATGTATACGATGATGTTCGCGGGCGGTGTACTTGTTACCACATCAGCTAAGTTCGCTGTTAGGACGTTTATCAAACCTTTGGGACCTTCAGCCAGAACTATGGTGGGGGCCTCCACAGAAGTTAACCTTGCTGCCATTCCGGAAGGGAAAAATATCACAGTCAAATGGTGAAATAAACCATTATTCATCCGTTACAGAACAGCAGATGAAGTTGCACGGGAGCGCGCAGTTCCTTTAACCCCCTTAAGGCATCCTCAGCGGGATGAGGATCGCGTAAAAGAAGACAAATGGCTCATTTGTCTGGGAGTATGTACTCATTTGGGCTGTATTCCAATAGCACACGCTGGTGATTTTCCAGGAGGATACTACTGTCCTTGTCACAGTAGTCACTATGATGCTTCTGGTCGCATCAGAAAAGGTCCTGCTCTACTAAATTTGGAAGTGCCTGAATACAAGTTTTTGGACGAGAATACTGTTATTGTTTGTTGGCTGACATTTCCATGAAGCATCTTTATTTAGAACACTAACTGTAGCAATTTATTTCTCAGAGTGGAGAGCTCCTTTTCCAGTTTTGCTTAAATGTATTTCGGAGTAAGAATTTGTTCTTTCAGTAATTTCAAACGTTTTTCGGGATGCGCTACCTTAAGAGTTTCGAAGGTATCGCTCGATGCAGGACCATCCCACTAAGTTGTGGGAAGGCCGAATTAACCGCAGTTGTCCCACGTAAAAAGGCTTTACTGCCACTGGCACCCATTGTTAAGTCTTCGCATGACTTACTGCGTTTGTCTACTTGCATAAGCTATAATAATGTACAGGAAATATATATAAATACCTGTTGATTTCCGTAATGAAACGATCTGTTGCCGGCCCTTGTCTTCTGTTGTTACATTTGGTGTCGCTGCCTACCGACAAATGGAAAGCCTATGCCCTGCAGTTTTTGATGGAGACATATGGATCTTCGGGCAAGACTTCAAGGCTTCTGCGCAGTTGGCTGGCGTTCAGGATCTGTCAGCGATGGAGCAGCTACTTGGGACGCTGCTGGGAGGTCGAGCTAAAGCAGCATATGAAAGTGTGGGCGGAAATATCGGCGAATGTTCGACAGGGTCAGGCAAACAGTTTCTAAAATGGGAAGGACCACATATGGTCACTTCGAGATGGGGTTACGCAGACACAATCGCAATGGGGGACAATGAGAGGCGCGTGAACGTCAGCGAGCTCCAGAAATGGATACAGCAAGACAAGCCAACGATGACGCCTACACCAAGAAGATCAAGCCGACTTCAGTCGCAAGTCTTTGACGGAAGAACGAGTGTGGTGAGAGCGGGCTGCTAGCCGAATTGGTAGACAGTAATTTACGTCAATGTTTACTTCCCTACTATTGGTCGTAAGAAAAATAAGAACAAAGACTGATTCAACAACCAACCACAGCAGGCTTAACGTGGGCAAATATGATTCGCAGATGGATGGCTCCACTTTTCGATGTTACCCGTAACAACCAATCAGAAGACTGCGTTTGTCTACTTGAATAAGCTATAATAATGTACAGGAAATATATATAAATACGTGTTCATTTCCGTAATAAAACGATCTGCTGCCTGGCCCTTGTCTTCTGTTATTACAATAATAACGGTGAGTTTGTTCCAAACAGTATTGTCGATCCAGTTCGGAAATTTTAGCATGTTATAGATTATTGGATCTAATGCTGTAGTGATATAGTATGGTGAGGGGAAATACAAAATTAACAGTTATAACACAGCTTAAATGATGTTCCCACTTATGAGAAAATAAACAAATAAAAACAAAAAATTGAGAGGATTATAAATATAAGAAATACAATAACAATAAAGCTTGATGTTGTAAGGGTGGAGGAAATGGTTTATTTAGTAGTGCAAAGAAGGTTAGTTAGTGAGTTCATACCTGACACTATTTTCATCGCATAAAGTATGTACCGCGAAATATGGTATGGTGGAATTTTTATACTAAGATGTACGTGCATTAATTCTTCTGAAAAGACTTCTTGTTTTACTTGAGGAGACACAAGGTTAGAGCTGAGGGTGGGGAGGTGGATTCTCACAGTCTGACAAAATTCCTTCACCAAATGTGTTGCCTGACATCAAGTGCCTATCAGTGACTGTGTCAACGATATGACCCAATGAGATATCACCACTCGCCCTACTGACAGTCTTCACAGTTCTACGTAGTATGACATAGTCTTTTTTAAGCAATCCAGGAAAGAATAAGCAGGGATGAACAGTAAAGAAGAATAGGTAAAATACACGAGTTGACAAACTGTAAGATGGCGGGTTGGTTGGGTTATGCCTGAGTGCCTTAACTTCTTAATGTAAAATGTCAGACGAAATATTGTTTCAGAAATTGCTAAGACATGGAAAGACCAGGATAAGTTAGAAGAAGGAATTAATCCAAGATGCTTGACTTCAGGCTTGGTTTCTATATCAGTATCATTCATTTTGCAAGGGTCATAGGAACCAACGGCTTCATTTAACTTTCGTTTACATCGGAAACTGAAATTGACAGTCTGACATTTGGAAGGATTTAGTTTAAAGCCGTTAGATGAAGATCATTATGTGAATCGGTTACTGGATGGTCACTGAGATAAGCCTCTAGCATTGATAAAAATTAATCGATAATCTTAGGAATGCGTATATAGATCTTAAATAAATAATTTACCATTAGTCTTTTGATTGGATACTAGTCAGTAACTAGTGCGATGTGTCTGGCTAGTCCTTTCTTTGGTGTTGACTGAATTCTATCAGTCAGTCAGGTTTGCGATGTGGCCACCATTCTAGGTAGCTCGCCATCACTGTGCACATTGATTTGGTGATATATTAGATAATTGGAGGCAATTGGATTTTCAACTCCAATGTGTAGCCAGTGCTACTTACCCATACAGATCAGAGACTTGACGCGTCATAAAGAGCACCTCAAACAAACTACAGACCTTCATCAACAGCTGCCTTCGTTCAATGCTACTCATGATCAGATGGCCAGAAAAGATCAGCAAGAGGGAGGGATCTCTGGCGAAGAGCGATCCAACCAGGAACTGATTGTGCAACAAATAGGCAGAAAGAAATGGAGATGGATTGGCCATACTCTGAAGAAACTATCAACTGACATCACTAGACAAGCCATTGCTCGAGTGGAACCCGAAAGAGAAGCGGCGAGTTAGTCGTCAGCGTGAGGGTGACTTTGAGGAGGTCATGTGAATAGGAGGTGAAGGCGTGTGGGCAGACTTGGAGTGGAGTGAAAAAGTTGGCAGAAAAGCAGACGCAATGGAGACGTGCGCGGCTGAAGCCCTATGTTCCTCTAGGAATTACAGGAAATTATAATAATATAATCGGCTGGAAGCCTTCCTTGTTCTAGGTTTGATGCTAGTTGACACTAACCAGTCAGCAAGGCGGTGTATCTGCAACTTTAGTCTAGATTATAATTTTATATTAGAGTTAGGTTGTAGTCAATCTCGAGCCATATAAGGTACACCATCAGTAATGACTTGTTTATTTCCTGGCATTTGAGTAATGCGATTGAATTACGACTCGAAAGACTCTTTAGCAAACAGTTACACAAAAGGAAGAGGTTCCTATTATGTCACATACACCAGTATATTAAATATTCCCATAGTACAATTTAGAACAATGCATTTAAGCGAACAATATTGTGTATTACTGAATTGAATTTTTGATTTTCCCGTCGATTGATTGGACCGAAGTGCTCGGTCTCAGGTTGACATATCGGCTTCTTGTGCAGATGCTTCGACGATGTCTGGGTATTTAATTAATATACAATTGGTGGATAGTGGCTAATAGTAGAATCCAGGATGCGCATTTCGTCCTATTTGGGACTCGTCAGCTGGGTGTACCTGCATTTCTCAGTGAGTGGTGATGTTCCCACCGAGGCTCGAACCCAGTGCCCATAGTTTCAAACGCCAAAGCATCTGCACAAGAAGCTGACATGTCAACCTGAGACCAAGCACTTCGACCCAATCAATCAACGGGAAAATCAAAAATTCAATTCAATAATTAATATGACCCGTTATACAACAGGTGGCTCTCGTGGCCCAAGTGGTCTAGTGTATAACGCTTTGGCTGGTGTTTGAAACTATGGGCACTGGGTTCGAGCCTCAGTGGGAACATCATCACTCACTGAGAAATGCAGGTACATACAGCTGACGAGTCCCAAATAGGTCGAAATGCGCATCCTGGATTCCACTGCTAGGCACCATCCACCAATTGAGAACAATGTTGTGCTTTCAATTAGATCTCATCATCAGGCTTAACTCTAATATACCTACAGAACTTTACAAATAAAAATTCAAATATAAACCAATCATGGTGTTTTGTCTATAGGATAATAAGATGGTGAATATAAATCGTGCAATTAGTCATAATAGTAATAATAATAATAATGGTTTTATCAATAACAAAGATGAAAAATTGAGGCAATCTGTGATAACACGAATAATGGAAAAACAGCATGACTAAACAAACAAATGTTCAGGTAGACATAGTAGTCGATAAAGGCTAAGAAAAACAAATGAGCCGATTAATTAATGCTAGATTGTAAGAGGAGTAAATGAAACACTTTTTTAATGAAGATGTGATAAGATTAAGGGATGATAAGAGAGGGGTTGGAAACATAAATAAGGGTTGGTGGGGAAGTCATAAGTCGGTTATGTCTTAATAGGCCATTATCTCCCCCCTTGGCCTATAAATAAATAATTCCACGCCGTATTATTGGTACAAGTATAGAATTTTCAGCATGTAATATAGGCAGCCCAAATTTTTCAGGTCGACCAATTGATATCAGGTATGCGTCGGCTGTGGATTGAACCCCGGACCATGTGCATGGTTGGCGAGCGTCCTAACCCCTGTGCCGTAGACGCACATAACTAACTGATGACTTCTACACCAGCTCTTACTTATATTTTCAACAACTTTCTAATCATCCCTCAGTCTTATTACATCTTCGTTAAATACGTGTTTCATTTACTTCATATACATCAGTGTGTAGAATTAGTTTCTCGACGAAGCTCAACTATGGTGACAGAAGTAATGGATGACAACAGCTCAGATTCCTAACGTGACGTCAGTTCATTTAAGGCCACAGATACGCCCTACTCTCTCCAACCATCTAATATATATATATATATATCAGTTCAGAGTGTTCCACGATAGCAAGTCACTCAGAGAGCTGATCACACTGAGAACTTTATTGATAGAATTCAGTCATCAGCAACACGTCAATAACTAGTCGAATGACACTGGTTACTTCCAGCTAACCAGTCAGTGTATCCATTGCAATTATACACAAGGTCTACCCGAGCCAAAAGAACTCAGTGATAACTCCACTGACTGCAGTACTGCTGTGGTGTGAGCTGGCTGCTAGCCGAATTGGTAGACAGTAATTTACGTCAATGTTTACTTCCCTACTATTGGTCGTAAGAAAAATAAGAACAAAGACTGATTCAACAACCAACTACAGCAGACTTTGCGTAAGCGGATACAATTCGCAGATAAATGATCTGACATTCAAGAAACAGCCACAAAGAGATGAAAGATTAACTTTCAATGAGAAACGACCAATCAAAAGACTGTGTTTGTTTGCTTACAATAGTCTATAATAATGTACATGAAAATCTATAAATATGTGTTGATTTCCTGAATAAGAGATCTGCTGTCTTCTGTTGTTACACTGCCACGAGGAGATATCAGTAGTCCTTTTCAGGTCACGAATTCTCTGTGCTAACAAGTGTCAATAAGCATGGCACTTTAGTGTAGGGCTTTCTATCAACCCACCAATTCCTCCAACCCACCCCACCCTAGTCCCACCTTCCTTCCTCCAACCATCAAAGCACTATTTTTTAAGCGTGAATAAAACACCAATATTTTTTTTATCATATCTATTGAACTTTCATAAAAACGTTTCAAAACAGTAACAATCTAACTTGTAATACTTACTTCTTTTGAAGATTCACTTTTAGAATTATCTTCATAAATGATTAATTCTTCTTTTGATTCATGTTTATAGTCATCTTCTTGTTCATTTAAAGAATTTTTAACAAATGAAGATTTTGTTAAAGTGTTCAATACGTATTGTTTATCTGTGCTATTATTATTATCATCGTTTGCGTTACAGTGTTCATTGGCGGTATAATCAAACGTATAATCTTGATCATTTCTAATATCTGGAGCTTCTTCTGTAGACAACCCATCGTTGTTATTCTCCTCGTCATCATCATCGCCAACGTCATCCTCAGCGTCATTATTATTATTGTTATTATTATTATTATTACTAGTATTATTTGATGTCATTGTATTACATAACTCAGAGATAATATGTAATTTAGGCATTGATAAATTTGATATCTGTTGTACATCTTCTACACTTTCACCAGTTGTTATATTCACTGAAGATGACGATGGCGATGAGCCAAATGAATCAAATATTGATTGATTTGTATTTGGTGTTGTTGGACTTTGATTTGTTGTCTCTGACTGTTGATATCTCCAGTCGTATTGAGCAAGCCAATTTTTTTTAGGTTTAAATGAATTAATTGGAAATAATGGTGGCAGCGAAGTTGATGATGATGCAAATTTTAATTTAAAACGATTTGTAGTCACAGGAGGACTATGAACTTGTGATGCTGATGCTGATGACGACGAGGACGAGGATGACGAGGATGATGACGATGACGATGATAACGAGGATACACCGACTACACCATTTTCATCATTAATTTCAATAAAATTTGTTGATTGTCTTGATGATGCTGATGAGCTGGTTAGCGGATAAAATTGTGTATTATCGAATGATGTTGTTAAATTAGGATTTGAATTTGGCTTAGTTGTATTATAATGCAGCAAAGAATTCACAGCATGTCTTTCACCTCTTGGAACTGTTTGTAATGATTTGTGTTGGACTTTAGGAGGAGCATTCACTATCAGTGACTTGTCATTCTGTGAATAGATATCAGAATTCAATGATACATTTATTGAAGTATTATTTATGGAATGAGATAAATCTAATTTGGATTTCATAGGATCATTGTGTAGTAGTTGATGGTTAGTTGATTTTTTTAAAGATGTTGAGGCACGAAATGCTGCTAAAGACTTTTCAAAGTGTTCATCTACAGCCATTTCTGCAGCTGAACGTTGTTGGTGTTGGTTTTGTGGTTGTTGTTGTTGTTGTTGTTCATGGTGTTGATGTTGGTGTTTCTTTTTCTTTGCCTTTGTCTTCTCTTTCTCCTTCTTCTCCTCATCATCTATTTGTCCATCTTCTTGTTTAAATGTTTCTTGACTAGAATCACATAAATGAAATGATGACTTGGTTGGCGTTGAAAGTGTTGACGGTTTATTGTAGACTTCAGCAAATGTTGGTTGCTTTTGTAAGTCAGATGAATTAAAATCCGTCTGTTAAAGTAAAGGTAAAGTAGACAAGAATAAGAGGTTAAAAAAGAATATTGTTTTAATTCTTAGGAAAGTTGCTGTAGAACTCTCGTCAATTATTCACGTGGTCTGGGAATCGATCCCCTCCTCCCAACAAAGAGGGATAGTTGGACGTGAAGCTAGCAACCTCACCCCATAGTAATAAAAAATACTGTTATCAGAGCTTCAAAGATTCGTGTTGAAGCCATATTTAGTTAATAACGTTTAGGAGAATGTTGAGTGACATAAAGTGCCAGACCCTCGTGTAGAACCCAGGCGGGAAACGAAAGAGATTTTGTGGGGATGAAATGAGATCTTGTGGACAGTCGTGGAGCCACCTAAAAACTATTCTAAAGAATTGACTGAAACAGAGGTGCGCTACTGAAGATTCTGTATTCCACTTGGGATGCAGAGGGGATAATAATGATAGGAAGCATATACATACACATATAAGTTCACGTATAAGACATACCTCAATTAGAACTTATTGTAACCTAACCACTCAATTTTCAATCATTAGCTGACAAATCAGTCACCAGGGCAGTACTCAAATTTGAACAGTCCTACAGTATTTATCAGCTCTTTTAAAATAATGCATGAATTATTCCAGTCATTATGGGGAAATGAAGATGGTTGATAAAATCAAAAGATTCTGAAAATCAATATGCAAGATTGGTTACAGGATTTCATCATGAGCTGACATCAGTTAGAGAACCACTGGAAAACCTGGGAGTACAGACAGCTGTTTTGTACTAGTTTGGAACCCTTCATCGGTACGCAACCACCACCAGGGTTCGAACCCAGGACCTTCTGGTTACAAGGAGAACTCGTAGACCATTAAGTCGCTGAGACCTGATCCGACTGGTCAGCCCATGAATTCTAACTTCTGTCAATTCACGATATACCGCAACCGCTAGCCAATGTCTTCGGCAAACATATGTCCTCACACCCGACCTGCTGCACCTTACTGGTCTACGAGCTAGCTCGCCTTGTAACCAGAAGGTTCTGGACTCGAACCCCGGTGGGCGCGTACTGACGAAGAGTCCAAAGCTGGGACGAAACAGCTGTCCAGCACACCCAGTTGGTTTTCCAATGGTTCTCGAACCAATGTCAGATCATGATGAAATCCTGTAACCAATCGGACAAATTCCTACAAACCAATACTTGAATAAGCAAGATCGTTTCCCTTATTATTGCTTCCTTTAGTTCCTGGTAGAACATATGGCTTCAGCTGCGCGCATCTGAGTTGCGTTCAGTTCTCCGCTAACGTTTTCATCACCTGGCTCCACGTCTGCCCACATGCTTTCATCACCTCTTCGCATCACCTACTCCTTCATGTCACCCTCGCACTGACACTCAACTCGCCGCTTCACATTCGAGTTCGACTTTAGCGATGGCCTGGTGTGTGATGTCAATCACTTGATGATGGTTTGTTTATCCAGAGTAGGGCCACAACCCACCTACATTTCTTCCTGCATATTTCTAGCACAATTGGTTCCCCCTGAATTGGTTCACTCATTGACAGAGATCCCTCCCTGTTGCTGAACTTTTCTGGCTGACCATCTGATCTTGAGTACCATTGACCCAAGACAGCTATTGATGAAGGTCTGTAGTTTGCTCGAAGTGGCCTGCGTGACATGGCACGGCGCCAAGCCAAGTCTCTGATCCGCATAGCGCATAGCACTGACTTCACATTCTATTTGAAAATCCGGATCTTATTTTCATTTTCATGCTGAGTAGTGTTGTTGACCTCAACAAGACTTGAGAATATTTAAAGCTTGCGTTTCTTTCCCGATCCTCGTTTTGATATCCTCATCAGTTCCGTCCGCCTCTAGTTGGAACGATGCTTTCAAGGTCTGCATGTAGAGGAGGTTGCTTCCTTCAAATTTCTCCCATTTATGCTGGCTGATTGTTGTCTGTTATCATTTGGCCTTAGTAAAAAGAAAATGTTTTACAACATAAAAAGTATTTAGTTTTCAACTTGTACACCTTGTATACATATGTATGATAAATCATACCATTGACTGACTGTGAATACCAAATCTATTGTCCACCATGATAATGGATAACTATTGGATCTTAAAATTGTCATACATTGATTCCTTCCCAAATGAGTACGAATTTTCATTGTTTGGCAATATACTACTGACTAATATGAAGTAGTTGAAAAAACTCACGTTAACAATAGAATTGTTTACTAGCCAAAATAGAAGTGGAATAAAAAATCACTAAACAGTCTTTTCTACTTATATATGTGTCCAAAACAAGTTCACTTTTAACAGTATGAAAAGAATTTGGGCATTGGTTAATTGTGATATTCATTATAATAAAGGTATATTGTATTTTCAAAATAATGGTTGCTGAACAAAGAATACTCTTTGCGATAATCCCTTCATCATCAGACTCTACAGTTATCTACAGATTATAATGAGTGAATAAATTAGTGTTGTTAACGTCATTAATGTTGTTTAAATAATAAAAATAATAATGTCACTGGATTAGAGTTCAATAGCATCAACATAAAAATACACTGAATGTCAGATAAACTAGGAAAGATAACCATACAAATTCATGAATTTCTAGTCTCTAATGAAGGGCCGCCAAGGCAGTAGTAGTGGCTGTTTTGACTTGTTTCTTTTGCACACAAGGCACTGGTTGTTTCACGTGAATTGCGATAGCCTCTGCTGTTCGGAGCATGCGGTACTTCGATGTTTTTGGCAATTTATTTGGCACCCGGTAGATGATAGAGAAGGGTTCTTCAATGGTCTAATATCGAACTGTTGATGGTTTTCACTACACCTTTTACTTAGCCATACTGGGAGATGCTCCCGAGAGAGCATGACAAATCAAGTTCCTAGAGCAACAGCTGATATAACGCGCTCCACAAGCGCAGTTGAATTGGTTGCTAGTCTAGGTACTTCATCTTTCAGTCGAGGATTCACTATCGGTCGTGTAGTTCGCCAGCATTACAAGTTCTTGGAATTGATTTCTTTTATTTCTTCGTAATTATCTCACTTGGTATATCGCAGGTCTTGAATTGAAGTCGTATATAAAGTGGCTACTTGTTTACGGATAGTGAGTAGTCCTTTTCTGCCTTCTTTGTCATGTGTTTCTTGATAAATTTGTCAGGATAGCTATTTTCAACCAAGGTATCATATACAATGGTTAATTCGTCTTCACTTACTTCTTCTGAGCATATAGCTTTAACTCTGTGGCTGAGGGTCGATCTTTACTAAATTTCTTTTGTACTTGGGAGGAACGAAGCTGTGAAAATGTGTATACTGTATTGATTAAATGTTTTCTAAACAACATTAATGTTGTTCATAACACTAATTCATTCATTCCCTATAAGATATATATACATATATATATAGAGAGAGCCTAATGATGAAGGGGTTATTGAAAAGAGTATTCTTTGTTCAGTATCCATTCTTTTGAAAATTTTAATGGACGTTTTTGATCAGATTTTGTATTTCCAAATACCATATGGTTGTCCTTTTTACTGATGTTTCGCCATTTAATTTTGATGCTAATAGCTTTATCAAAGTAGTATTATTAAACCAGAATCTACAAAATCCACTCAACTTGCATTATACAGAAAGTTAATCATCGTTCATCAACATGGGGGCATTTTCGCGTTGTTGTCAAGTTGGCCAATTGTTAAAGATAACAAAAACAGGTAGGTGTAGATTGTTGGATTTGATAAAAATGTAGTGATATAAAAGCAGTGTGTGCGTTTACATAATGAAATTGCTTATCACATTCGTGTTGATTTTGTCTTTTCGTGAGGGAGATTGGGGGTGGGATGTTGTAACCAGGTGAAATTCCGTTTTAGTCTGTCATTCCTATTAGGCTCAGACAATTTGGATTCCATTTGACATGAAGTGTTTCTGATGATATCAGACGTTCTTTGGTATTTCTGAAATGCCCTTTTGTGGATGATGATTTCAATATTGTCAGAATCATTTTTGTGGTCTGATTCTTTAGGGTGTAGTAGAGCTATGACCGATGATTTTTCTTCAAGCTTTTCTAGTTCACCAACTCGATTTCTCGGTGGTCAAACACACACTCACTCACTCACTCTACGGTGTTCATTTCTTCTTACTACCTTGATTCCTCTCTGGTGAATTCTGTCCGATGTATATCGCATCACATTTCAAGCAAGCATTTTATTTTATAGACACAATTAGATGGACAATCTTTAGGGATTCGGTCTTTTGTATGAACAAGGTTTGTTTTCAGTGTGTGTGAGTCTGATGTTTTGAAGACAACTCTGACGTCTGTCGTGTTTATTGAGTTCTCTTCTGATATCGTCTGACGTCCCCACTCTATATGGGGAATGACAACTGTTGAGTTCCATGTTTTCGGAATACGTTTTCGACCATCCCTAATGTTAGTGTTTATTTTGTTGATGAAGTTCTTCGGGTAGTTGTTTTTCTTGAGAGTCTCAGTAATTTTTGATATTTCTTCTTCTTGTTCCTTCTCATCTGTTTTCGTCAAAGAGTGTGGTCGTCTGAAAAGACTTGAAACAACTGATATCTTTGTACTGATGGAGTGTGATAAAGCTATTAGCAGCATCAGCATTAATGAATAGCGAAATGTGAGTAAAAACGTCAACAATATCGTTTTGCTCTTTTTCATTCATTGGGAAATACAAAAAATACTTTTATGAGAATCCGTCTTTTCTACTGGTAGGGAATAAGTTCACCAGTTTGGTGTACCCTCACTGACTCAGCCCAAGAGAGGGAGAGAGAGAGAGAGGGAGTCGAACGAATTCAAACCACACGAATTCCCGTTAGTCACTTGGACGAAATAACAATCCATAGAATCGAATTCTTAATATGCAAATTACACAGTCCAAGGTGAGAGTTTAGTCTAACTGAGTTCATTTAAATCTTTGCTTTTCATCCTTCAAGGTTATCTACATGGCAAAATCGAATCGATCCAAAAATTTACACGTTTTCTTCACTTATGTATAGCTAGCCAAAGCTTTAGCTATATATACATGAACAGAAACCTAAATTATGTGTTCAAAAACATTTTGTCACACCCCTTTCTTTACCTTGATCATAATAATGTTTTTTCTAGTTTTTATTTTATTTTATTTTGTACCACTTGAATTCATTCCACTTCACTTTACATCTTCATTCTTAACGTGATCGTACTCCTAATTTTTTAAAATTTTTAGACAACGCTTGACATTTAAAAAAATAAGATTTTTGATATCAATTCACTTATATAACAATCTTTAATAATTTTGTAATTTATCCACTTTAACTCTACGCCTTATAACATTTTAATTATCGTTATTCTTATCATTTATATATACATGTATATTGACTGAGCAATTATTTAGTGCCACTTAATAACCTCTTCCTGTAATATAAATATATACGTCTGTATAGCTTAAAAATGAAGTCGTTGAAAAGAAATATTTCAAGTATTGGTTTTTGTAGGGATTTTGTTTGATTGCATGGAGGATTTAATCATGAGCTGACATCAGTTAGAGAACCACTGGAAAACCTGGGAGTACTGGACAGCCGTTTCGTCCTAGTTTGGGACTCCTCAGCAGTACGCACCCAGTGGCTCAATGGTCTACGAGCTCGCCTTGTAACCAGAAGGTCCTGGGTTCGAATCCCGGTGGGTGCGTACTGCTGAGGAGTCCCAAACTAGGACGAAACGGCTGTCCAGTACTCCCAGGTTTTCCAGTGGTTCTCTAACTGATGTCAGCTCATGATTAAATCCTCCATGCAATCAAACAAAATCCCTACAAAAACCAATACTTGAAAATTCATCTGATGCTCACTAGTGACTGGCCCTATTCAGGCAGTTAACCTGGGGTTCTAGTGGGAAGCCGTGACCAGTAGGGTACAGCAGGTCGAAGATGAGGCAGTAACTCATCGAAGAAGACATTGCGAAGTGGTCGCGCTATGTCGTGAACTGGCAGAAGTAAGAATTTAAGGACCATTGGATCGGGTCCCAATGGCTCAATGGTCTACGAGCTCGCCTTGTAACCAGAAGGTCCTGGGTTCGAATCCCGGTGGGTGCGTACTGCTGAGGAGTCCCAACTAGGACGAAACGGCTGTCCAGTACTCCCAGGTTTTCCAGTGGTTCTCTAACTGATGTCAGCTCATGATTAAATCCTCCATGAAAAGAAATATGTCTATTCACTGAACCGAAAAAACAAAACAACTGTGCTTTGCTTTTCTCACACAAAAGAGGACATTTGAAATTAATCATACATATATAAATGTTATGATATGATGTGATGTTTTAACTTACTGAAACGTCTACTTTTAATCCTCTTAATGCTTTGAAGAAATGTTCATCTGCGTCTGCAGTTTGACGAATAATTATTTTACTGCCTTCTTCAGATTTTTTATACCTACAGATAAAATGGAGAAAAATACAAAAAAAACGGAAAATAAGGATAAATAAAAATTCTCAAGTATTGGTTTTTTGTAGGGATTTTGTTTGAATGGATTGAGGATTTCATCATGAGCAGACATAGGTTAGAGAAGAAGTTGGAATTCATAGACGACTGGCCAGTAGATCCAGTCCCACTGGCTTGATCGTCTATGACCTCGCCTAGGCTCTCAGTTTGAATCCTATCGGTGAGTGCATACTGCTGAAGACTCCCAAACTAGGACGACGAAAACAGTTGTCCAGTACTCTGTGTGGCTGGTTGCCCAATGCTTCTCTAACCAATGTCAGCTCATAATGAAATTTAAAACGAGAAATAAAGGTTCAATAAAGCAGGATTTAATGAATTCGTCAAATACGAAGAGAAGCTGAAGACATACCTGTTTTCCAACATCGTCATTGAGGAAATTGCTACTTTTATGTACTAAAAATGTCCAATTCCAATTCAATGGGCGTCTATTCCATCAAATTGATGGTGTCGCAATAGGAAGCCTTTTGAGACGACTTTTCGCTGACCTATTCTTGTCAGGCCTAGAAACCCGGTACCTTGCAGCAACATATACAAGAAACGGATGTATACCTAAGATATGTTGTTGACATATTTATTGTCTGTGGAAGCAGATCAAAAGCTGAAGACATGTTGATGAAATTCAACTCATGCCATCCAAATCTCAATTTCACAATAGAACACGAAGAAAACAATACTACTGAATTCCTAGACGTTTTCCTAGCTAAAATGAATGATGACACAATCGAAAGATCTATATTTAGAAAGTCTTCATGGACAGGATAGGACAGTACATGCATTTCAAGAGCTTTGTTCCAATCCAGTACAAGAAGAACTTAGTCAGAACACTGTTCAATAGAGCACGAAAAATTTGTTCTGACAGTACTATTGAACAGGAAATAAAATCTCTGAAGGATATTTTATCTGATAATGGATATCCTGAGAAGTTCATGAATAAATACTCTAAAGAAATGATCCCCTGCAAAACAATCCAAACAGTTCCGAAGAAACCTATGTATATCATTTCGCTGTTCAAAGGAGATGATGTACAGGAAGTAGTCAAATGAAGACTCGATAAAGCCATCAAGAGAACTTATTATGCTGGAAAACTTGTTTTCCTTAACACTAAGCACCACTAAGCGAGTGCTTCAACAATCTGGGAAAGACCAGTCGCCAATCCTCGACACTTCAAACTGCCTATATGAATTTGAGTGTGTTTATGGAAGCAAATACATAGGTCGTACGGAAAGGCGATTGTCTACTTGCATGATGGAGTATTTGCCAAAACGGTTGAAAACAGCTGAGTGCAAAGTGCCAAAATCCTCAATAACAAAACATCTTGTGGATTACGGACATGATATCGACGCGGTCAAGTCATTCACTATGTCAGCAAACAAAGAAACAAGAAGATGCTTGCAATTGCAGAGGCTTGTGCAAGTCGAGTTTATAAACCAGGTCTCTGTGTACAAAACAAGATCCTCGTGACTCTGAATCTACGACGGTAATACGTTTGACTTATTATTCTACCTCTTATTATTATTATTATTATCACTATTATTATTGTTCTTGATTCATTTAAAACTATCCTTTATCAGTAGCATTACCATAACTCACTTCAATGCTATTTTTATTATTATAACCATTACTATTGTTATTACTCTGTTTGCAATTCTTGTTATATTCTCTAATGTCTAATTGTTTATCTAAATGATGTAATTGAAGCGTAATGCAATTTATCTTAATTTTGATCTCTCATACTCCCTCTCCGCTTATCTATTTGAACATGACCTGGAAAACATTCACCCACACCTGTCTTTCTGCATGACTAATTCAATGTAGTTTGTTTACTTATCAGTCTTATATCTCCCAATGTAGTTTCAAAAGTGTATATATATCCGTGTATGAAGAGTATTCAGCTGAAGAAGAGTTCTACAGAAATTTGATGAATTCATTAAATTATCCTGCTTTATTAACCACATTTGTTGCTTGTTTTAAATTCGTATCGGGAAATAAATTTTTTCAGTTCATAATGAAATCCTGTAACCAGAAGAAATTGAATACACTGCATGAGAAGTGTACATTTTATCACTTTATGTATGGTTTATCCTCCTTTATAGTGACATTCAATGTACCCTAGTTTTGTTTGTTTATCTGTTTGTTTATTTATGTATTAATAATATCCACACTTCTCTTACAATATTGACTGTAAATCACTCACTGAAACGTATTTTGTTGTTTGTAAATCCATTAGCATGTTAATTAATTGTTTATTCAGATTTATTAAAAGGACAGTTGCAGCTAAGGGAATTTTATTTTCGATGAAGTCACCGTCAGCTAGGCTGTACATACTAATGTTAACATACAAACAGGATCATATAAGGAAATTAATAAATCATTAGACACCGTTATGAATCAGGTTAAGAAATCCACAGCAGATCTTATACGCCAAATGAAGCCGTTTCTAGGTGAGTCTAAGTGGTTTCATTTAACGCCCAGAACTAATAAACCCAGTAGGATGTATGGTGTTGTTAAAGTTCATAAGTCAGGATACCCTATTAGACCAGTAGTTAATTTTAAAAATTCACGTACTTATGAATTATCTAAATATTTAGCTATGGTATTAAATCCCCTAAAAAGCTAATTGAAATCTAAACTAACTAATTCTTATGAACCAAAACATAGATTAGATAATTTAAAATTAGATAATGAAGAGAAAATGGTTAGTTTTGACATTGTCAGTTTAAATACACGTATACCAATAAATATGACTATAGAGGTAGTCAGAAACGAACTCATTTCTGACCAAGAACTAGAACTTAGGATGTAAGTGTCACTTGAGGATTTAACGCTGGGAGTGCAGCTATGCCTGACTTGCACAATATTTAAATTCCAAGGGAAAATATACAAACAAAATGAGGGAATTGCCATGGAATCACCAATATCCCTAGTTGTAGCAGATATATTCATGGATAGGTGGAAAAATATAGCGATTGAAACGTTCATCCCCACCCTAAAAGTATGGTGCAGGTATGTAGATGACACATTCACTGTACTTAGAACACAAGATATAGACAGATTATTCTAATACATCAACTCAAAGGTAGAAGCAATTCAATTCACTTATGAATTGGAAAGTCAGGAACGGGAACTTCCAATGTTAGATTGCAACGTAAAAAGGAAAGAAGATGGGAAGTTAAACACACGAGTGTGTTTACAGGAAACCCACACATTCTAACAGATATTTAGACTTCCCATCATCCCATCCTATGTCAGTGAAAAAATAGGATTGGTGACATGTTTAAATGGCAGAGCAGAAAAACTAAGTAGTACCAAGGAAAATCTAAAACAGAAAGTGATACACATAAAGGAAGCCTTGAGACTTAATAATTACCCAGATAAATTAGTCAGGAAATATGTAGGGAAATGTAAAAATGAAATAAATAATGATAGTAGCGATAGTGGTAATAATAATATTAATGACGACACCAACAATGAAGAATCTAAATCATCAGTAGTACCTCCATACAGGGAAGGAACCTCGGAAGCCTTACGCAGAATTCTTAAGAAGGCAGGTATAAAAGTGGCTGGGATTCAAACCAACCACAAACTCAATTAGAAACAAGCTTTGTCGGTTAAAGGACCAATCCTATGGAGCCTTTAAAACAGAGCAGTTTAGTTTATCTTATACACTGTCTGCAATGATTGTCAGGTCAAGTACATCGGTCAAACTAGTAGAACAGGGGCAGTCTAACTAGCCGGGCATAAAAGCTTAGCAGCGAAATCTAGATTAGTTGACCCCAATAATAAGATAAGAAATCTACAGAATAGTTCAGCTTTACAGCACTACAACACATGCAATTACACACAATCATACAAATAGGCTGGATGGGATAAGATGACAGTTTTAAAATCTAATGCAACTAACAGGGTGGAAGAAGAGATTGATAACAGAAGCTTTATTTATCGAATCAACTGAAAATACGTGCCTGTAATAGGAATGATTCAACACCTGTCCACCCAGATATCTGGAAAATTCTACTACCACACCTACGACGACAAATAGGAGAAGACAAAGAAAACTATAAAACTCAAGTTTCAAAGCTGTATGATTACAATTGATGAAATGATTATGAACAATAAATTTTGTTCGATACGTCATCCAGTGAATAATACTGTCACTCCACTGTGTGATACATCTAATAAACAAACTAATATATACATTCGTGTGTATTCATATTAAATGTATGGGAAAGTTCCAGAATTACTTCCGGTCAGAGGTTGGATAAATAAAATTACTAAGTGTTATAAACAAAAGATAGGTAGTTGCACTATTCAAGAAATATTTCAGGTCAAAGGTCAAATTAAAAATTCCAAATGTGTAATAATCAGGAAGATCTGGTAGAAAAGACAAAATAGAATTACAATTACTTGAAAACTAGTCAGTATTTGTATAATTACGGGTTAAGAATGTAGTCTTAACGAAATGGGTAGGTAATGAATCCATGACGTTCGTTCTTCGGAAAAATTTGGGATGACCTGCTTTTGATTCCATAGAATACATCTAACCTTCTGACGTAATTCATTAGCTTCATCATCAAGTAAAAGGGTTAATATAAGTTCCACGATGGGAGTTATTTCTATCGCTTTCAGTGGTTTTCGAGTTATGTTAAAGTTTAATCCTTTTTCAAGTAATACCGTTTCATGTACATTAAGTTCTCTAGATCTGATAAGTTGCATACTGTTCTTGTGTTTGTCTGTACATTTGACTTATTTACTCCGGAGTTTGTTGTTTTTTGATTTATAAGTTTTTCAGATTTTCGAATTTGTCCTTGCTTAGTAGCATTGAAATGAGCGGACTTTCGATCTTCGAATAATTGGGTAATGGTAGTCATTTAACTACCATTATTCGAAATGAGTAGAAGGTTCGGACATATGAAAATAAAAACAGTAACCAA